TGATCTGCACTGTAGGGGTGGGGGGAGGTTCCCCCCCACCTTCCCAGCAGCAATCTGGCATTTGCTCTAGAAGTTGGCACCTAAGAATTTTTTTCATTTCATTTCTACAGCTGATTTAATGACTATGCTAATCACTTCTATCCCACCTTCACCTTCCAGCTTTCTGGTCCCATGGTGCCTCCTTTCCAGCTTTTCTACTTTTACCCTCCAACATAAGCAAACTCGCATACCCCATTTCTCTTCATGCTTTGCTAGTCCCAGGATGGCTCCCCTGCCCATCAGCATTCCAGCTGGCAGAAGGTGAAGAGGTGGGTGTAAAGATCATGTTCCTTCCCATTCAAAGGGCAGGACACAGGCTTTGATAACAGTCTCCCTGTTCACACCCCACGGCCAGAACTTGGTGACAGGGATACATCTAACCCCCTGGGAAGCCTAGAAAAATGTCAGTTTTCCCTTGATGGCCATGTATTAACCAGAATTTTCTTCAGTATTAGAATAAATTCTAATGCTCCTCCATGTTCATGGCAACTTTCAGCCTAAGTGCCCATCAACAGGCCAGTGGGTAAAGGAGATGCGCCAGATTAAACACAATGGAATACTAAGCTATAAAAAAGGTGAAGTTCTGACATTGGTAACCACATGGTTAGACCTAAGGCATATATGCTTAGTGAAATAAGTCAGATGAAGAAAGACAAACACTGTGTGATATTACTCATGTGGTAGATAGAGAAACCAAACAAACAAATGAACTAAATAAAACAAAACCTTCTAGATGATAAGAACAAAATGGTGGTTACCAGAAGGGTAAAAAGCAGGAGGGTGGTAAGTCAAGTTTAAGGGGTCAGTTGTATATGAAGAACAGAATTGAACTTTTGGAGCTGAACTTAATATATATGGATGTTAATTTATAGTGCTGCATACCTAAACCTGTATATTATAATGTATTATTAGCTCCATTTAAAAAGCCCTCCCTGGTGGCGCAGCAGATTAAAGCACAGCACTGAGAAGCTAAAGCCACTTCAGCCTGAGTTTCATCCCCGCCCCTGCTCAGGTGACCCACAGGGCCCGGCAGACCTCTCCTGACCCGCCCGCTGCTCCCCTCAGCAATGTACCTCGTCAGTCGGCCTGTTCTGCTCTCCACTTTTTCTCTGGTGAAGCCTCTCACCACCCTGCACCTCTGGCCTGTACCGCAGTTCTGTATGCATAAGTAAATAAATCTTTAAAAAAAAAAAAAAAAAAAGAATGGGTATTTTAGAATATATAGCATCCTGCTTATTTGCTCTGTGGCCTGAAGTTCTGAGTGAAGTAAGGCACCTCTTTCTGTATTTCAGGAAGCTCCTAGGAGCACAAATGGAAGGTGATAATTGATAGTTATTTTTCCCTCCTGTAAATTCTTACAAACTCTGATAATTCTGGTTAGATTGAAGTAGCATGTTGAGTTTTTGTTTTGTTTGTTTACATAGTTGATCTTTGTTCTTTGTTCTTTGAACCCCTTTGCACTCTTAAAGATCACTAAGGACATTAAAAAGCTTTTGTGTGTGAGCTATATGTTTATATTTACTACATTAAAATTTAAAACAGACATTTATAAGAATATGCAAGTAAGCATTCCATTAATGTGTACCCTCTGGAAATCTCCTCTATGCAACATGTGAGATTGATGGCTAAAAGGCTAACAAAGCCTTAGTAATATTATGAAACTAAGATTTGCCATGCAGACCCATTGTATGGATCTTGAGGATCCCATATTATGCCTTGACAGCTATTGAGCTGGAGAACAGAACCTGTTTATGTTGACTTTGGCAGTTGTTTCTTTTCAACTCTAAGTGCTATTACTGAGATTAACAGATAAAGGAATTAAAACTGGACTACTGCCACTGAGTAGTGTATGGGCCAAAAGAATAAGTTACCTACTGATATATAAACTTCTGTCATCATCTTAGATTTGAAAGAAGTTGATTTCTATTTCTGAATTATAAATAAAGTTCTGTTTAGAAGTAGATAGTTGGGCCTTCCCTGGTGGCACAGTAGGTTAAAGCACAGCACTGCAAATGAGCAGCAGCCCCCTCAGTGCAAGTTCGATCCCCAGCCCTGGAGGTTCAATCCACATGGCCTGGCAGAACTCTCCTGTTTTGCCCGCTGCTCCCCTCAGCAGTGTACTTTGTCAGTCTGCCTGTTCTGCTCCCCACTCTGTCTCTGGTGAATCCCCTCACTCCCCCACTCACAACTCTGGCCTACACCCCAGTTCTTGTATTATAAATAAATAAACCTTTAAAAAAATAGAAGATAGTGATGGGCTTTCATCTGCAGCAATTTTATACAATCTGGTGTTTGAATTAATTGGACTATACATTTTGAAGCTCCTGCTCACATGTGTCATCCTTTTGGGCATGTTTACCATTGCTTTTGGCCATCCGGGCCTGAATCCACCTTTTCTCAGCACCCAGCACAACCTCCCATGGAGGTGTAAAGTGCTAAATTTTTGAGTATTCAACCACGTTGCAGCAGGTGATGGGCACACTGTGCAGGCTGCCAGTTAGACATCTCCACTGAATTTCCAGGGCAGCAGCTGGTGGTGGTGGTGCAAGCTGTGGCCTCGCCTGTCAGGCCTGTGCAGCTGTGATTTGAGGTGATGCTACTGGTTCTGTAACCACCAGACCTCATTTTCCTGACCTTTCTGCAGCTGAAATCTTGATGGGCACAGTCTCAAAGGCAGTCTCAAAGTTTTGTTTGAAAACCCCATAGGCCAGAGTCACCCGGGCAACATCCTTAACGGTCATTGCCAGTTAGTGGGCTTCAAATGGATGGGTTCAGAATCCTTTGTGGCTGAGTGCCTGGAGTCTGCTTTTGAAATAATTCATATGATTTTTTGGTACAGTAAACATTAAGAACTGCTGTTCTTATGTTTCCAATTTTTAAAATCATTTGTTTTTCTTTTTTTTTTTAAGATTTATTTATTTATGCATACAGAACTGCGGTACAGGCTAGAGGTGTAGGGGCAGTGAGAGGATTCACCAGAGACAGAGTGGGGAGCAGAACAGGCGGATTGACGAGTACACTGCTGAGGCGAGCAGCGGGGCGGGTCAGGAGAGGTCTGCCGCACCATGTGGATCACCTTCAGGGTGGGGATTGAACTCACACTGAAATGACTGTGGCTAGCTTGCAGTGCTGTGTCCCAACCTATTGCACCACCAGGGAGGGCCCTAAAATAATTTGTTCTCTGTTTAAGGATCTGAGCAAATTCTAAAATAAATAATTTTAGATTTATGACACCCTTGTCAGTGACTTGCTAGTGTTTCCTTATCTCCATTTTTTCCTATTTTGCCTGAAATTTTCCATAAGCTTTTTTGTTTTATTTATTTTTTATCTTCTTTTTCTTCTTAATTTCTCCTCACTGAGAAGTGGATATTCCTGAAATGGGGCTGCCAATATTCAGTATACCAGAATTAGTTTGGGTTTTAAACTATAACTGTGGCTTTCTCCAGGTCATTTTCTTTGGCGTTTCTACAATCTGCAAGTTTAGGTCTTAATGTTTAATCCAGGGATCAGTTGGAGGATGAAAGGAAAGCCTAGACATGACATGTGACTTTTCAAGAAGGGTTTTTCACCCATAAATTTGGGCCAGAAAATAGCATGGAAGGGGTGAATGATCTCTTTCTGATATTTCCAGAGTCACAGGATCTTAGAACTTGAAAGAATAAGCTTAACTTCTTCATTTCATAAATGAGCAATAAAGGAGATGATGTCCAGTGTTATATAAGTGATTAGTGGAATATGGAGGCCAGTGTAAATGTAGAAGAAGTGGAAATGGGGATACGGAGCTTGACTTATATTGGCATGTAAAGGAAGGAGGTCATTCATTGAATGGCTATTTGAACTTGAGCACATAATCTTAATGTCTCTAGTTCTCAGTATCCTCCAGTATAAAACAAAAATTCTACTAAAAGCTAACATTTATATAATATTGACTACTGCTAGGAACTTTTCTGAGCACTTTGTTTACTAACTCATTTAATCCACCCCACAACTATATGACATGGGTACTGTTATTTCTCTTCACTACTCAGAAAGATATTGTCACTTACATGCAGTGATAGAGCTAGTGCATTCGTTTTTTATCACTGCTTTACAAATGACCATGTCTCATGGCTTAAGACAACATGCATTTATGATTTCAAAGTTCAGTGGCTCATGGACACAGAATACCTTTGTTCAGGGTCTTACAAAGCAGCAGTGATGTGTTGCCAAAAGTATCATCTCAGACTTGAAGGACTCTTCCAACCTCATGTGACTATGGGCAGAATTCATTTTTCTCCCATTATGGAACTATGGTCTCTAAGTCTTCTAAGCTAGCAGGAGAGTGTCCGCTTTGAAGATCTCAACTGATTAATTAAGCTCACCCAGAATAACCTCCCTCTTTATTAATTTATATCAACTAGTCAGAAGCCTTAATACATCTATAAAATCTACTCATCCTTACCACATGATGTAACACATGGGAATAATATCTATGTTCTCGGCTACATTCTACTGATTAGAAGCCAATCAACCTCTAAAAGGAGGAGGTGACAGATCCATGGATACCAAGGGGAAGAACCATCTTAGAATTTTGCCTTCCACAGATAATAAGTTTTACTTTAAGCCCAGACTGACTCCAGGGCTAAGGGTCTGTGACCCCAGGGCCAAACTTCTTTGTTTTTTCTTTCAGGTTTTTTCAAAACCTGACGTAAAGTTCTAAGTAAGATAACACCTAGCAGACACATATTGGGCTTCGAAAACTATTCCCTTCATATCTTCATATTTAAAGGTCTTTTAAAGAAACTATATCCACCTGCAGCCTTTGTGCTCATGAAGAGATTTCCAGCAGCTTGCTTTAAAACCTCAGATTATATAACTTACTTCAACTCATAGTTTTCTGAGGCAGAAAGAACCCTAGGGATTGGGATTTGAGAATTGAGTTCTCAAAATAATCTTAATTTTGCTTTTTGTCTTTAAAACAGATGAAGTGATTGAGGAAAAAGGCAGAACACCATGGACCAGCCATTTACTGTCAACTCTCTGGTAGGTAACACCAGCTGATCTTTTTTACATATGGCCGTTAGTTAAAACGCAAAAATGAAGAACAGAAACAGGCCAAATAATGAAATGAGTCACAGTTGCTTCAAGAAGCTTAGTTCTTGCAGTTTTTCAACCATCTGTGTGGTGTTTTCCTTGAAGGAAGTGACTAATGAAGTCATCTTCACTGGAATTAAAAATAATTTTTCCACAAAAGTGTGAATTTTTAATGTATCTAGCCAGATTCCAAGCATATAGTCCCTTAGTAGAGCACCAGAGAGGATTTCAAACTTTGCAGCAGGTACTTGTACTTCCGCCTCTTTGTGCCTCAGCGTCTTTACAGCCACAAATGCCTTAATGACCAAAAAAAAGCATTTTATGTTTCCTAGCTAGGTGTGTTTTAGGGGATTCTTGTATAACATGTTATTTACTTGATACTTGTTTTTTTCACTTTTTCTTCTTCATGGTCCAGTAAGATGCACTTTTTCTAGCTACATCTTAGAAGGAACAACATGCCACAGGGGAAATAAGAGCTACCTTGGAATCCCATGGGCTTATTCTGTGCCCCACATCAGTCTCTTGAGAGTGAACATAGGCATATGATTTTCTCATTTGTGCCTTATAACAATTGGAAGCAATATTTATAATATTCCCAGATATCTAAGGTTCCTGGACCTAATTTCAATGAAGGTGTGTGTACATGCATGCATGCCTGTAGACTTCTTCACACCACACACAACTAGAAGGGTATCTGAGAAGTCAGTTCAGCTCAATTCAGACACTGTCTACACAGAAATGGCATTAGATTCTGTAGGCAAAGGGCTCACTTTTCTCTTCGAGACTGCTCTTCCTTCAAAAGCTGGTAACTAACCCCTCATCAACTGACTACAGACTGGAGGGCCCCCCAAACTCCTGCTCAGATTTCAGGTACCCTTCATGAGCTCAGATTATCACCTGCGTTTCTGACTAACTGGCTATAGGTCACAGAGTCCCAGCACAACCTCCTCAGATTCAATTAATTTACTAGAGCAGGTCACAGAATTAAGGGAAGTAGTGACTCACTGGATCACTGGTTTATTTTAAAGAAAATAACTTGGGAACAGCCATTTGGAGGAAATGTAAAAGAAAGAATACCTTTCTCTCCAAATCTTCTCTGAGTATCAGCCCTGGACTTCTTAGAAGACCCTTCCTCTTGGATCTTTATAAAGGCTTCATTAAAAAATGTGATTAATGGGCCCTCCCTGGTGCCGCAGCGGGTTAAAGCACAGCACTGAGAAGCTAAAGCCACTTCCACATGAGTTCGATTCCCGCCTGCCCCCGAGGAGACCACATGGCGTGGCAGACCTCTCCTGACCCGCCCGCTGCTCCCCTCAGCAGTGTACCTCGTTGATCTGCCTGTTCTGCTCCCCACTCTGTCTCTGGTGAAGCCTCTCACCGCCCCTGAGCCTCTGGCCTGACCCCAGTTCTGTATGCACAAATAAATAAATATTAAAAAAAAAGATGTGATTAATGAACTTATCAACCATTAGCTATTGATTCAAAGACCACTACCTCTCAGCAGCTTGGGAATGGGACTGGAAATTCCAACTAATCATGTGGTTGGTTCTCTAAGCAATTAACCCCCATCTTTAGTTGCCTTCTCACTAATGCAACAAGAAATACTGTTATCATTCTCAGCAATCAGAAAATTCTGGAACTTTTGGGTGCTGTGAGCCAGGAACTGTGGGTGAAAGTCATCCGAACGATGCCACAAATGTATTTCTCATAAATCACCATAATGTGCTAGGCTCACATGCTGACTTGAGAGGAAATAGACTTCATTGCCATGGCTGTCCCAGGTGACTCTCTTTCATCCATTCACTGCAACCCTGTGAACTGTCCTGAGAGAGCAGTATGCTGAATACCCTGTACACACAAAGCCTTGCACTGAAGCTTGAAGAAAAAGAGGGTCTGCTTCTTGTTCTGAAATAGGTTAGGACTCACACGTCTCTCTCAACCAGAAAAGTCCCTCACAGATGCTTAGTTGCTTTCAGGGTGTATCTGAGTAGACTTACAGCAACTTGCTCACTTTCTAACCCTGTGTTGTCAGCTCAAGCCTGCCCCATTTCCATCTCTGCGGAGTAAAGATTAATCCTTATGGAGTACTTACGTGTTTTTTAGAACATTACATAGGAGTTGAAATTTTAGTAGGTTTACAGTGTAAAATAAACATGAAGGCTTTTGCATATGGAAGGTTGTGTTTTTCTCCAAGTCTCTCATCTGCAAATGTAACACTATGGATTGATGAAGACTTAAAGTTGTTTCCTAGTTTATGAATGAAATCAGTTTTAAATCTGGGTAAGCTGGGACCTCGGTAAAGGAAAACCAAACTTTATTTTAATCTTCAGGTTAAAAATAGTCTAGTTATAATCATGTTGCCCCCTTTTCTCACTTTCTCCTTTATTTGATACATTTATTGAGTATCATCTGACTTGGAGAGATTAATAGGAAGTGATTCTGTTTCCTCAAAAGGAGTCCACATGCAAGTGAAGCCACTGGTATGCAAATAATTACAATGCAATGTGGAGTTCATAGCAATAAAATACAGACAGATTTATTTTATACATAGAAGAGACTGGCAATTTTGACGTTGCCTTAACTGGCATGATTTTTTCCGGTTATTTTCTGGGATCATCGAAACATTGTCTGAAATGAGCAAGTCAAAGTTTAGAAGAGTAGTAAAACACAGGTGGGGGAGAAGGAAGCAGGCTCTCATCTAAGATAAAGTCACTCAGGAATGGCCTGCACATGGATGCTGTCACCTCTCTGGTCTCAGAATGCTGAGCCAAGTGAAAATAGATTCAAGGTGTCAGGTAAGGATTAAAATGAAGTGCGCTCGTCCTGATTATCACTTGGACTTGGAGAATGTGGGAGTCAGTATATCTTATCTCTCCTGCTCTAAATTGAATTGGCTTAAACATCCACTAACAGAGACATGGCTAGGGATCTTAGGGCAGGGCCGGCCAGGTCATGGGAGTTTTTGTGGGGTAAAAGAAAGCAAAAGAGCAATGTCCACATTGCTCTAGGCCAGGTCGAAAGAGTAATAGAAGGTGAACAAGGCATGACCTACTTCTGATTTAGTGGGACCTTGAGCTTCAAGTTTCTGACTCTCTGGTTCTATATTAAAATTTTAGAAACAAGAATCATCCCAGGTCCCAAGGGCTCTATCTGCTATAAAATTAATACCAAAGTAGAGCAGCTGGCCTTGAAAAAACTGCATATTACTACACCCACCCCTGAAGGTTGGCTCATTAATTCATGGCCAGAATAAATTGATTTCATTTTTAGCTCTCTACCAACCTTAATCAAATGCTCTGTCCACACAGTAGTCAGACTTGCTACTTATCCTAGAATGAAGAAGGTGACTGGAGAAGCTAAATTTGCTCTGGGCTGACTCCTTTTTTGGACCATTATAGAAGGATACAGTGGCCTAAAGCAGTGCTTCTCAAGTTGTACCTGTCTTAAGTGCCTGGAGAATCACCTAACCATATCAGTTCTCCTAACTCAGGTTAGGTATTTGCTTTTATTTTTTTCTGTTTTTTTTCTTTTTTGGGCATTTTCACATTCATAACATGAACATACCTTTGAGATGCAAAGGTTTTCAATTATTTTGTTATTTATTGTCTCACATCATGGTTTGTTTTTGGACAATATTCAAATCCATCCCCAAACCAAAAGCCCAGGCTTCATAAGCAAGTTCTACCAAACGTTCAAAGATGAACTAATGCCTTTCCTCCAAACACTCAAAAAATTGTGAAAGGAGAATTACTACAATTTCACAAAACAATCTCACAACACCAAAGCCAAACAAAGACAACCCAAACAGAAAACCATAAGCCAATTTCTCTAAATCTTCAATAAAATCTTACCAAACTGAACCCAACAATGCAGCAAAAGGATTATATGTCATGACCAAATGGGATTTATCCCAGAGACAAGAGGATGATTCAACATTCAGAAATCCATTAATGTAATTCATCACATCAACAAAAAGAAAAAGGCTATGTGATGATATCAGTAGACACCAAGAAAGCACTTGATAAAGTCCAACATTCATTTATGATGAAGGCCCTCGAATAACATGGGCTAAAGGAGTGTATCTTTGGGGTGGCGGGGCATGGAAGAGACATGTAGTGTCAAGAAACGCAGAGATATTTGGAAGAGACACTTGGGGAGGCTGACGATGACAGCCTCCTAGAATTATAATTTGATTTACTCCTTTCCTTTCAGACTTGTCTGGCCCCTTGTGCCCATTTCCAATGGGTCCCCACCAGAGGGTGCCTCAGATTGTGGCAAGCTTTTGGGATTCAGTAGGCCCACTTTGGGCCAGCCCTGTTTAGCTGGGCATTTACCCAGGAGCAGATAGGTAACTTCGAATGTTTCACTGGAAAACTATATCCATTCTCTTCTTCCCTCTCTATGTACAGTCATTGTATTAATCATCTTTCACACCAAGGATATGCTTTGCTTTCATGTGGTGAATGGAAGAATCCTTTTGGAGTATCCAAGTTTGAGTGCCCCAGGGTGCCCCTTTGTCTGCCGACTAACAGATATACTCAGGAATAGAGTTGAATCCTTACAGTAACTTTAAATCAAAGCTGCGTCAGAGACCCTTCAGAGGAGGATGGCGGGAGTCCTGCCTTTGTAGCCATCCATCTCTTTGCCTGATTCCCTTGACCCAGGGTGGAAACGGGAGCATATAAAGTTACTTAAAATGAGTTAAAACATTTGTATACTCAGACACTGCCACATAATTGTAGCTGAAACTTAAAAGAGCTCTACCCTAGTAAAAATAAATGTTTACCTTGGAGATGTAGGTTTGGATACATAGATCATATATTTAAGCAAAAATATTTCACTTTAAGTTACCAGTAAATTATGCAATGATTTCTGTAGGTATTCATGCTGAATATAGTACAGAATATGCATCTATAATATCAACCATATTCAGAAACTCAAATTTTTCTCTGCAGAAAAAGTTAGCTGCTATGCCTGACCACACGGATGTCTCCCTCAGTCCAGAAGAGCGAGTCCGTGCTCTGAGCAAGCTGGGTTGTAATATTAGCATCAATGAAGATATCACACCACGCCGCTATTTTCGATCTGGAGTAGAAATGGAGAGGATGGCATGTGTGTATTTAGAAGAAGGAAACTTGGAAAATGCCTTTGTTCTTTACAATAAATTTATAACGTAAGTCTTGTTTTGGAGACCTCTGAAATGAGAATACTGGAAAAATATTTACACAGTATGCTGAGACAATTTGAAGGAGAAAAGTGTTTCATATTCAGAACAATTTTACAATTTCCAGAAGCATGAATTTTTTTTTTCTTTTAAAGATTTATTTATTTATTCATACAGAACCGGAGTACCAGCCAGAGTTGCAAGGGTGGTGAAAGACTTTACAGAGACAGAGCAGGGTGCAAAACAGGCAGATCTATGAAGTACACTGCTGAGGGGAGCACTTGGCAGGCCAGGAGAGGTCTGCCACGCCATGTGGATCACCTCTGGGGCCAGGGATCGAACTCGCACTGAGGTGTCTGTGGTTACCTTGCAGTGCTGGTTCTACCCCATTGTGCCACCAGAGAGGGCCCTGAAATGTTTTTAAATTACCAAGCAATGTACTTAAAGGCACCCCCACAACCCCTTTGAGTTTTAGGGATGGGAAGAAGATCAGTAGTAGGGTGGAGAGCAGGCTATTGGACCCCCACTCAGCAGGCTTACACCATAAACTACAGGTCTCTTTCTTTAACACTCCAACAGATAAAGCATCTCATTTATGCTACCTCCCTGTACAGAAATGTCAGTTTTATCAGGGCAGGAGTCACATTGCAGCTCCAACTGATAATATCTGGTACATCCATTAGCATTTTCAAAATTCAATTTGAAAAACTGAGTGGCCCCTTCCTGGTGGCACAGCTGATTAAAGCACAGCATTAAGAAGCTAAAGCCACTTCCTCATGAGTTTGATCCCCGCCCACCCGAGAGGTGACCACATGGCGCTGCAGACCTCTCCTGGCCCGCCCGCTGCTCCCCTCAGCAGTGTACTTCGTCCATCTGCCTGTTCTGCTCCCCATTCTGTCTCTGGTGAAACCTCTCGCCGCCCCTGAACCTCTGGCCTGTACCCCAGTTCTGTATGCACAAATAAATACATCTTTAAAAAAAAAGAAAAACTGTGAGTGGAGGATAAATTGACAATAAGGAAGGAACCTGATTCAGAGATGGAATAGTGCCATCAGTTTCACAGTATAGTTAGTGGTTCTTTTAAAAGGAAACTTACTTAGCAGTATATTAGTGTGGTGTGTATAAGAACTTCCAAAATGTTGAGTGGAGGTGGCATCTCAAAACAGCCACATGAAGATGTATTTTGCGTGGCTAACTATTTGTTAACAAGATACCCTAGTTTAAGCAGTAGCGGAAACGGGACTTGGAATTTCCACACCAGTTTCCTAGCTTAATGGTTAGGGCTTTCTCCTGTTTCCAATAATTATTTACTTAGAAGCCAGTCCCTTATTCTGGTTTTAATTGGAAGTCATTTTCTTTTCATTGAAAATAGTTTCATTAGTTCAATTGGGGATTTCACTGGAGAACATTTGAGAAGTTGAAAAGATAGACTGTTTAAAAAACTGTATTCCATGTCTACCACAAGTGAAATTAACAGCGATTTACAGTGCCATACAAATTGGGCTCTGCATTTTATTCAAGACAATTAACTTCTTGCAATTTAGGCAATTAAGTTAAGCTACAAGAACCTGGCAAGCACGAGAGCCATGTGGTCTCTTTAGAGAGCTTGTTGAACTTAACCCTCTTAATCTCAGTGCTTAGTTTGATTAGTTTGCTGGGCCTTACCACTCAGCAAAGCCAGACTCATGCCAGCCTTTAACAGGCAGGAAAGAATACTGGTTAAATAAAAAATGATAAAACATGTCATTTTTGAAAAGTGTCTCATTCTCACTTTAGAAATCATCATGGAACTTTTATTTTTCTAGTCAGACAGTGCTGAAAACATGTTTTTTTCTTTCTGCAGCTTATTTGTAGAAAAGCTCCCCAGCCATCGAGACTATCAGCAATGTGAGGTACCAGAAAAGCAGGATATTATGAAGGTATTGGGGGGGGTGATATTCCCCTGAGGAACCAAGTACTTTTGTTTTTTGTATTATACTAGCCTAATAGGTTAATAAAGTATTTAGTGTGTGGACTGAAATGGGCACAAGAAAAGGGACATGGCTGAAATGTTTTATTAATCATCTATCAGCTGCATCTTATATCTTCAAATGTCTTTACCTGAAATTATCTCTTTAAATTACATTTTAAAATGTTTTTGATGTAACTGTCTTAAATAGTCTGGGTTGATCTTATATGAAGGAAGATGGATCAATGTGTACAGAACCCAATACAGCATGAAATTTTAAATAACTCTTGAAAAAAATTTTACCTGAGAAAAGGCTCTTCCATCACTATATCAGGCCAGAGCAGAACTGTTTGCAGAACTCAGATTTTGTCAAGTGGCCATCCTACTTCCTTAATTACTATACACCTACCATTGTGCCTTTATATAGCATTTCCACATAATTTTCTTATTCATTGAACCTCAGAGAATGCTGTATGAAGTCCAAAGGTATGAGGCTGCCAAGTAAATCTTCTTTTTGAATTATTCTTTTTTCAACTTGTAGAAGAAAATTCTTTAAAAATATATACATTTTCTTGTTTATGCTTGTTGAGTAAGTGGGTGTATGGGTGAATATATGTGTGGGTGGGTGGAGGGAGGGAGGGGTGGACAGATGATAATGGATTAAAAGATTGAATGTTTAGTGGTACAGTCTATCTAGAGTGAGAAGACTTGAATCCTGGTCCTAAATGGACCATTAGCTAGCAGGTTCTCCCTAGGCCTAAAAAAGGTGTAGATTGGTACTTACATTTCCACCCACAATAGCAGATTTCCTAGAGTTTCCTACTAATAGAATTCCTGGGGAAGCTGTTTGAGATTCAGTTTCCCCCATTCTTTCACTAAGCATATTGATTCAAAGTATCTGGGATTTGGCCTGGGAATCTATATTTTTTATAGCTGTCCTTTATACTTTGTCCAGTCTAGGAATCTGTACATGCCATGCTCTCTGATCTGCCTTCAGATTGTGATGACCCATTTCTTATGTACTGTGGAACGTGCAGTTAGTAACTCATTACCGAAAAATGGGGCACGTGCCTAAACAAAATGCTTCTCTTACCAGTGAAGTCAATAAAGGTCACAAAAAGGTGGTTCTTTGCTCTCCCTACTAAGGAATTATATCTTGGAGCCCTAGAAAAGTGAGTTTTATTTTTCCACCATCACCTTTCATTACTCATGTCTTAACTTCTAACATACAAACCAGCTGTTTTTCTTTCTCAGCTGATGATTTGAAAGACTTTACTGAAAACCCCACTAACCAGTATGTAAATATATTTTTTTTAAAAGAAACTGAAGGAGATTGCATTCCCAAGAACAGATGAACTGAAAAAGGACCTTTTAAAGAAATATGACATAGAATACCAAGAATATTTGCAAAGCAAAGTAAGTTCAACTGGTATATTTATTTCATGACTATTTTCTATGCAAATATTGTTTGATTTCATTTTCATATGATGAGCTTTTCAAATGTCAGATGCATTGAAATTAAAAATTAAAGATCTGGCCATAAAAAAAAAATAAAAAGTTCATGTTGCTATCCAGGTGAAGCATTTGCAACAAAGGTGTGGTATTTTTATTTCCCTACAGCATCTAATAAAGTGATAGCTTAGAAAGTTCCTGCAGTTATTTAGATAGAGAATATCTATCTCTATCACTTGTCAGTGTAACCTTGAGTCCTTGGGCAGTCCTTTGCCAATGAACAAAAGCAATAGGAAGCACGGAGAGCAGTAGATGGTTTCTGATGTACCTAAGTATGTCCGCCTTGAAAATGTAAATTAGATTCTTAAGTATTTCAAGTTAATATTACATTAAGGTGGAAGAATAGCTAATCAGATGAGACAAATGTATCACCAAAGGGTGAGAGTTTCTGGACTGTTATTAAAAGAAGAGTGAAATAATTATAATGTCTCAGAGATAAAAATTGATCAGTCAGTCTATAGGATTCTTAAGTTCAAAACATGAATTCTTAATGTTGATGACAATGTGATAAAGATTGTTTTTCTTTATCTTCGGTTATATGCGTGTATGTTTATTTGCTCTATAAGTTTTCACCTTTACTGACTTGTTTAAGTTCAGTCTCACTAACTCTAAACATGGTTAGAAAACTCTGTTTTCCATTTACATAAGCTACAAGTCAGACTTGCTTTAGCTAAGTGGTAAAAAAGATATTGAAATATCAGAAGTTTTACCTAAAGTGTAAATATTGATTATTTGATTTGAACTCTGAAAGACAGAAATGACCTTGTCTGGGGGGCTCAGACAAAGAATAGCTAGGGAGGGCCTCCCTGATGGGGTTAAATCTCAGCATTATTGCTGCGGCCTCAGTCCTACCTCAGCCAAGGAGGTGACCACATGGCGCAGCAGACCTCTCCTGTCTCTCCTTCTGCTCCCCTCAGCAGTGTATTTCTGTCATCTGCCTGTTCCGCTCCCCACTCTCTGGTTAATCCTCTTACTGCCCCTACCCCCGTCTCCCCACCCCTGTGGTCTGCACCCCAGTTCTATATGCATAAATAAATAAATCTTTAAGAAAAGAAAAAAGAAAAAGAGTAGCTAGGGAGAGAAAGGCCCAGTGTGGTCTCCCTTCCCATTCAGTTATGTATGTGGTCATCCCCCTGAGGCCACCTCAGCCCTCAGCAGCTGCTGTGCCATCTGCCTTCAGTGACCTGTTCACAGTTCCAGTTTTTGACATGATGCCATCTCTAGGGGCACACAGTGGCAACCTTTATTTATGCCAGCAGGAGCTGAATAGACACACCATCTCTTGTTTCTGTTGAAACACCAGTATCATCTTGGACCTAGAAGTATAGACTCTCAAGTCCCACTCAAGCTTTGCCCTAGGCAAACATGTCCTGTGACAAGCCGGGGTGCCTTGTGTGTTTACCACAGTGCTGCTGAAAACTGGGTCCCCAACCCACCTCTCTTCAAAAGTCTTGTTTTCCTCAAAATCAATTGGGAAGTTTAATAAAAATTTCTATTCTCTGACCTAGTAATGCCTGGATATTTTTGTTACAAAAGTGAACTTTTTTTTTTTTGATAATGTTACTTTCACTTTTTGCCTTTTTAAACTTAAAATATATATATATTTGGCCCTCCCTGGTGGTGCAGCGGGTTAAAGCACAGCACTGAGAATCTAAAGCCACTTCTGCATGAGTTCTATCCCCGCCTGCCCCGGAGGTGACCACATGGCATGGCAGACCTCTCCTGACCCGCCCGCTGCTCCCCTCAGCAGTGTACTTCTGTGATCTGCCTGTTCTGTTCCCCACTCTGTCTCTGGTGAAGCCTCTCACCGCCCCTGAGCCTCTGGCCTGTACCCCCAGTTCTGTATGCACAAATAAGTAAATCTTAAAAAAAATATATAGATATATATATTTAGTACATCCATATGCACAATGGAATATTACTCAGCAATCAAAAATATAAAGTCATGCCTTTTGCCGCAACATGGATGGAGGTGGAAGGGATCATGCTTAGTGAAATAAGCCAGAAAGAAAAAGAAAAATACCAGATGGTTTTACTCATAGCAGGAGCATAAAGGATCGGGGGCAAAATAATAATAATAATAATAATAATAATAATAAACAACTATATACCAGAGATATTTTACAGGAGTGGAGTGGGGAATGGGATCAAAAATGGAGGGGGGAGTGCACGGGACTATGGTGATGGTCATGAGTGATTTGGTGATGGGAAGTCCATGGGCGTTACAATTGAGATGGAAAAAGGCACAAAAATGGTGTTAAAAAAAACTATTTTAGTACAAAAAGTGAAAAAAATATTCGTACATCATCTTCATTTTTGTACAATGCATGATTTCCCAGTGAAATTCCTACCGCCACTTCACCAGTGAACCATCACCGTAGTCCCTTGTGTTCTTCCCTCCCTTGTTCTGATCCTTCCCCCTCCTCCTCCCCTACAGAATGTCTCTGACCTATAGTTGCCTGATGATTTTGATTTTTTTTACTTTATTATAGTTACTTTTCTTTCTGGTTTCTCTTTGTTTTCTCTACTTCCTCCTATAAGTGACACCACTCGATATTTTTCTTTTTCATTCTGGTTTATTTTGCTGAGCAGAATCCCTTCCAGCCCCGTCCATGCTGCTTTTTAACCAAACTCCTGACTCATGATAGAGGTGATTGGGCCTCCCTTTGAGAATTATTTCATAGTGAATCCCTCTTCTCCACAAAATCCCAACAGTATGTGTTCTAGAGTTAAACGCAAATGCTTCAGGGCAGCACGGTGTGAGGCTTCCTGTGATGGTAGCTATGGAGGCCACAGCCATGTGGCTTGTGTGCGCTTAATCTGTGGCGAGCATGACTGAGAAAACGATGCGTCAGTGAAGGGCTTGTCTCTGTCTCCCATTTCCTTCTTTTCCCCTCTAGGCTAAACAAACTTTGTTTTTGTTTTTTTTTATATTCTGAGGAAAAAGCGCATCGTTAGGAAGAGCACATCTGAATTACTGACACCTGTGATAGCAAGCGTAAGCTGGCCTCAACCAAGACTTCCAGATGCTCTGGAGGCTGGACAGGCTGACCTTGCCCATATTCCCTTCTTCTCCCTTGAAACTCTGGATCATGGTCCCTGCCCTCTGCCAAAGGGCAAGACAGTGGTCTTTCAGACACAAGTCTGCTGCCTTCCTCAATTTGTTGACAAATTAAACCACCTTCCTTCTCTTCTAACTTAGTTTCCTTTTAATGGCTAAGATAACCAAGCATCAGAACTGAATTTCTAATTTTATTTCATTTTAACTGATTTAAATATAAATAAGCACTTGGCTAATGGCTACCCTATTGAACAGTGCAGTCTGGGGTGATAGAATCGCTTCTAAGTTGTTTTTTCCAGATGACCTGATTGGTCTGGTTGAGCCATGACCTCGGTTTTCTATTATTTAAAAGCATAGGGGAATAGAAGGGACTTGATTTTCATGCCTATCTCTGATCAAAATGAGTGAATTTAGAACTTCTGCCTTCATCACATTAGCATTTTTCCAGTGCTGTTTCCATTGTGATTCCCGGGGGACATGTTTCCATCTCCAGCTATATCTCTGAGAGAAAAGTAAAAGCATCTAATGCCAGTTTAATATTTGTGCCTGGGAAACTAACCTTTGATTCTGGCAATCACATTTTTTAGAACAAATATAAAGCTGAAATTCTCAAAAAAATGGAGCATCAGAGACTGATAGAGGCTGAGAGGAAGCGGATCGCCCAGATGCGCCAACAGCAGCTAGAATCAGAGCAGTTTCTGTTTTTTGAAGATCAACTGAAGAAGCAAGAATTAGCCCGGGGTCACATACCCAGCCAAGAAACCCCGGTGCAGTCAGAGCAGATTGACGAGAGTGCTTTGTCCTGCCTTTCCACACGCCAGAACAATTCCTTGCTGAATATACTTGGAGATCAACCTAATAAAAGTGATGCAACAGATCTGGCCAGCCACTCTCCTCCAGTCAACAGGGCCTTAAAGCCAGCTGCTACGCTAAGTGCTGTTCAGAGTAAGTGATGAAATGCATCCCTGCAAGACACTGAAGCTCCTCTAATGGACTTTTATTTCCATAACATTTAGGAGATCTCATTTCATTGTCCATTTGTGGTGTGAATGACATAGCCAGTTTTCCAACACCAGAGGTCCTTTACTCTCTGTAACCTAGAAAGTCAGATACCATAGAGCAGATGCTCTAAAAAACACTAGACTTTGTTTTGTCATGGTACAGAAATTTTAAAAGAGAAAAAAAATCCATTTTTTTTCTTTCATGTACTTTAGTCAGGAAACACATAAATCTTAAAGGTTAACTGTTATACCAGAAAGAAAAGATGTTGAGAAAATTGGTCATCCAGAACATTCCTGAGCAATTTACATTGAAATGTGTAGCACTACTCTGGCCCATACACAGAGGTATTCTTGTACACATAGACTGTTAACCTCCAAATGGATGATGTGTTTGTGCCAACAATTAGTGCTGCTTTAGTACCCTACATCAGTGCTGGCAAATTTCCAAAATTAAATGGAGACTTCTTCCTGCAGACATTATTAGATGGGGCTTGTGCTCTAATTGATTTTAAAAAATAAGGAGCCATTTTACATTCATTGTTAATTATTTCTGAAAACATATTGTCTTTAGTTAGTGATCACCAACATCATAAAGATTTAAGTAATATCATAAAGAATATTTATCTGGGCCCTCCCTGGTAGCATAGTGTGTTAAAGTGCAGCACTAGGAAGCTAGCAATAGCTGCATCAGTACGAGTTCAACCCCTGGCCAAGGAGGTGACCCACATGGCACAGCAGACTTCTCCTGTCTTGCCTGCTGCTCCCCTTGGCAGTGTACTTACTTTCCCTGTTCCCCACATTATCTCTGGTGAATCCTCTCACCACCCGTATACCTCTGGTTTGTACCTCAGTTCTATATGCATAAATAAATCTTAAAAAAAAAAGAATATTTATCTTATAGGATCTGAGCCTATGGATATTGCAGTATATTTGCTTTGTGCTAAAGAAAACACCTATACACATGTAAATAGTTGACCTAGAACACAAGGTTATACCTTCTCACCTATTCATAAAATAATTTACATGCAAAGAATAATTTTACATTCCTTCTCATCAGCATTTACCTTTATGTGTTTTAGGATAGCTTATCAAAAGTGGACCACCTGATAATTTCATATTTGATGTTGATATTGAACTGTAGCTGCTTGCCAAAAACAGCTTTGAAGAATGGGGGTTTGGGAGTAAGTTTTGTTTTTTAACCTTTTCTTCCTATATGTCTCTTAGATTTAGTAGTTGAAGGACTGCGATGTGTGGTTCTATCAAGAGACCTTTCCCATCGATTTTTGTTGCTTGCAGAGTCTAATACAGTGAGAGGAATAGAAACCTGTGGAATACTCTGTGGAAAACTGGTATGGTCTTCGTTTCACACCTTTCTTTAGGATTCTTACAACAGCACTGGCTTTCTTGTGCTAAGCAGAGCAGAATGAAAACATCCTAAAAGTTATAAATATTATTAAATTAACTTGACATAGGTTAATTTAATAAAGCTATTGTCATTATTAATAAAATAATCATCAGAAAAAATGTATTGTAAAATTTCAAAAGCTTGTTGTGAAGCATTAATCAGACCATAAGTGGTATTTGTTTAGAAAAGTGATGGATGACAAGTTTTGGAGTTTCCAAAACCAGGTTTTCTAAATCAAATTCCTGTTGCAATTTTTAGTTTCACATACATTTGTAGAATTAAGCCTGCTTTTTAACCTGTGAAGATAGCATCTTGCCTTCCTTTCTCAGAGACATGTGGAACAGAACTGAGATTTTGTTGAATTCTTTAGAGCAACGCAGTAGTTTCAACTAACTGAACTCTTACAGTACAGGTCATTTAACATGAAATATTTTATCAGAAATATGAAAGACAATGTCAAAATAGGAGCTTGAATGAAGCTGTATTTAAGTTCTTTTTTCAGCAGAAATGAATGGTGTTCTGTGGATGTGCCCTTTACTGTTGCTCTTGGGGATCAATTTGTATTTTTTGAGGCAGGGATATTGTAGCCCTAAATATTTAAATTAGGCACTATTGTTTAACTGACTACTGAATAATATGTTTTACGCAATACATGTTCTCCTACTGTATTCTACTGCTGCATCTTTACTTTCCTCCAAGACTGAGGAAGTGCAGATGACAAGCACAGGAGAATGATCCACCTTCAGGGGACAGTGGACTGTGGCTGCTTTTCCCCGAGACCTTATGTTGGACTTAGTTGGATTGATTGATTGGTTCCTTCATCAGAGAAACTTTCACTGATTACCTATATAAGCCAGACACTATGCTACACTTGGCATTCATTAGCCTACAGTAGCCACAGCTCTTGCCACAGGATGCTTATAAGAAGTTTATGAAGTCCCAAACTTGACTAATTATAAACGGGTTGGATGCTTTCAATGGAAATGTGGGGTGTCATAGGAATGTGTAATTGGCAAACTAACCTTGTCTGCAAGGATCAAGAAGGGTTTCCTTGAGAAGTGATGGACATGCTGGGCTGGAAGTATATACAAAGTTAGCTAAAATGGGCAGGGGGTGGGGTTGCAATTAAGGCTGAAGGAAGACAAGAGGGGAAATGGTGCCATGGAGGGCTGACAGCACCTCACAGCACAGGCATCTTCTACCTGAGGATTTGACCACCCTTCACAATCCTTCAACTTTTATCGTCGACCTGAGGGCTGCTTTTCCTTTCTCTTTATCTAATTGCAAATCCAAAACATAATCTTCCTTATGGAGCTTTTGGGGATTGAGTTCCTACCAATAGTAAAAATAAGTCCTACCTGGCTGTCCCTGGCGGTGCAGCCGGTTAAAGCACAGCACAAAGAAGCTTAAGCCACTTCTGCATGAGTTCGATCCCCGCCTGCCACGGAGGAGATCCACATGGCAAGGCAGACCTCTCCTGGCCCGGCCGCTGCTCCCCTCAGCAGTGTACTTCGTGGATTGTACTTCAGCCTGTTCTGTACCCCATTCTGTCTCTGGTGAATCCTCTCACCCTCTGCATCTCTGGTCTGTACCCCAGTTTCTGTACGAATAAATAAATCTTTTTTTTTTTTTTTTGAGATTTATTTGTGCATACAGAACTTGGGTACAGGCCAGAGGCTCAGGGGCAGTGAGAGGCTTCACCAGAGACAGAGTGGGGAACAGAACAGGCAGATCGACGAAGTACACTGCTGAGGGGAGCAGCGGGCGGGTCAGGAGAGGTCTGCCGTGCCATGTGGTCACCTCCGGGGCAGGCGGGAATCGAACTCATGCGAAGCAGCTTTAGATTCTCAATGCTGTGCTTTAACCCGCTGTGCCACCAGGGAGGGCCTAAATAAATAAATCTTTAAAAAAAAAAAAAAAAGTCCTACCAAATGTGTTCCTCCAATAGTAGAAGTAAGTCATAAGTGCAAAGCAAAATACACAGATTATAAATTTCTACAATTTCAAACAAGATCATAAAGTTCTACAGATGTCTTTACATCTTACAGTAACTACAGAAAATCATTTGACTAGAGTCTCCCTCTCCCCTGCTATTATTTTATACTGGTGTTTCCCTTGCAAAAGTGAGACATGAGCCAGCCTGGGATGCTGATTCCTAATTATGATCAATTCTCTAGTGTGAAAATGAGCTTCATGCTCCAGACAACAGCCAGAGTGTGGGCACATAATACATTTTCAAATTTGGGGCTCTTGAATTGCTTTTAAATTGTGGCAGGGCCAGGAGGCGATGGTATCAGTGGTGAGGCACTTACTACTCCTGCAGAAGAACTTTGTGGTCAGGTTCCGTGTTTCCTATCAGATATTTCTTATTCTTTATGCTACTTGTTTTTTAGACACATAATGAATTTACAATTACCCATGTCATCGTGCCAAAGCAGTCTGCGGGACCCGACTATTGTGACGTGGAGAACGTAGAGGAATTATTCAGCGTTCAGGATCAACACGGTCTCCTCACTCTGGGATGGATTCACGTATGTTTGATCTCTTGAGTCTCAGTTTATGCTTCTGTGTTGTGCTGTTTTTTCCTTGAGAAAATGTAGTTTCATTTCAATAGTTTATTTTTTAATTTTTCAAATGTAACAATGTCATCATATTCAAAGCATTTTCTTCATGCTAAGACCATAGCTAACTCTGTCAAATCTGGGTTTGGTGAGGGGTATATTGAGTTGTTTTCTACCACTGAAATTAAAAGTGAGAGAAACACTTAGAAATTAGGTGAATTGTTTTGATGATTTTTGGTAATCTAATGAGGCCTAGTCACACTCTCAATTGCTTTGACTAGATTATTAATATTCTTTTTCCCTATGCTGGGTCTCAGCCAGATAAGGAAAATTTCTGAAAACACTTATTTTCTCCAGTACTATTGAGGAATAATTGACATATTACTGAATAAGTAGGTTTAGCTCTCATCTCATATTGCTATAGCACAAGGAAAAACATTTTCCCCTGTTGCTATAGCAAAAGGAAAAACATTTTTCCCTGTGATTAAGAACTGTTTTCATGTACTCTCTCAGCAGCATGATCCCTTCCAGCTCCACCCATGTTGCTGCAAAAGGCATGCATTTATCTTTTTTGATTGCTGAGTAATATTCCATTGTGTACATGTACCACATCTTTTATCTTAAACTAGAAGTTTGCATCCTTTCATTTCCCTCCCCCTCCAGTTTCCCTCTCCCTCTTCTTCAAAATATCTCCTTTCAAATGGTGATTTTTGCATGTCAGGTAGGCACCACACTTCCCACTTTGCCTCCCCCACAGACATTACTGTATAAACCTCTTCTGAAAGTCCTAGCCCCAATTCTTCAGTCAAATGTCTAGGATTTGTTTGGTTTTAGTTTTGTCTGTTTCTTTGTTAGTTTCATTATTTTCCCACATACGCGATACCATCTGTTCAAGGGGGAAAGGAATTTTTAAATCTTGGATTTCTTCAGCAGGCCTTCAGTATGTGTAAAGACATGTAACTATTTCTGCTGATCAGTGACTTTTAATTAATATTACAACCCTAGCATAGCAGCAATAACAGCAGTCCTTTCTGTCTGTGTGCTAAGCACTGTTCTAGGAGCTTTTATGTGAATTGTCTCATCAAATTTTCATAAGCATCCCATGAAGGAAATGACTATTATCCCTATTTTACAACTGAGAGAATGGGTCTGAGGAAGTAACCTTCACAGCTGCACCCAGCTAGTGAGTAGTGAACTCAGGACCCAAACAATGCAAGCCAAGGACCTTGGTCTCATGATTAAGAGTCATGTTCCCTTTTCAAAGGTAATTACGACTTACCTCATTCATCTGGATACATGTATTTTTCATACTCAGGTATATACTTCTGAATCATCTCTCAAAAACACAAGTTTGTATATTGGTAAAACACCTGTCATATGCTTCTTTGAATATATAATCGCTTCTGTGTATTCACTAGTTTTGCAAGATGAGTACATTCTCAACAATTTGGAGTTCACGGTCTGTTTGCAGGGAGGTGATCAAAGGGCAACAGCAACATGTAAGACTTGTAGTAGAATCTTTCTTTTGTGTCAGTGATTTTGTGTGTACACATCTCTGGGTTTCCACTCCCAGCTGTGTGACCACAGATAAATTTAATTCCCTGAGCATCAGGTTGCTTACACACAAAATGGACATGATAATGTAAATATCCTCTGGATGACCAATGTGAGCAATGAATGAGAGTCTATTCCAAGCTTCTGGCAAATGAAATTCAGTCCTTCCCAATAAACAGAAAGTACATGACCCTTCCCAGGAACTTCTTCTGAAAGTCCTAATTCTTCCTGAGATGCAGGAAAGAATTATGTCAGGATGATGTTTTTAAAAATCATTATTTGATGACTGATGGTGAAAAAGCAAACCTGAGTTTTCTCAGAGAGTAGCCAGGCCTAGACTAACGCTCAGTGACCTAATAAGTGTGTCCTCTTCTTCCTGCAGACCCATCCCACTCAAACTGTGTTCTTATCCAGTGTGGATCTTCACACTCATTGTTCCTACCAGCTCATGTTGCCAGAGGCAGTTGCCATTGTTTGTTCGCCAAAGCATAATGAGTAAGTTTAGAATAACAGCTCCAAGAATAGTAAGTCCTCTGTGCCTGGGTGAATTAGTGGTGGGAATTTTAGGAGGACTACACCCGAGAAGAGAAAACAAACATGGAACAAAAGTGAATAATGATGTAATACACACACACACACATACACGTGTGTGTATATATATATAATTGTGTGTGTATTACATCATTATCAATATATATGTATATGTGTATATATATACACATATACATATATATGTATATATATATATTATGAAAAAAAAAAAGAGTAGTAACTACTGAGGGAGCCCAAGTGGCGCCAGCCAGCTCTCAAATACCTGCAGCTGGGGGCCAGTCCTTTTGCTTTGAAAGGTACTGCCTGTAGAATAGCTATTTCCTTCTCTCATTAGCTCATTAGCATAATCTTAAAGTGGATAAACTGAACATTATTTGAGTTTGCCATTCGAGATTTTAGCTTTAATGTGATATTTCCTTCTGTAGGATTTTCCAGCCTTAGCTTTTTTACCTCCCAAACCTTTCTAGGTTAAGGACACATTTTGTAGAGTGATTAGCAGGACAGGAGCCAGCAAATCTTATGTGGGAATCTTGGCCCCACACCAGTGGTGTGCCTGGCAGAATCCCTGACCTCTGTGACCCTTAGTTTCTTCATCCTGATGCCTGACGCCAATGATTAGGGTAAGGGCGAAACGAGATAATAGCAAGGGCTTGACAAAATGCTTGGAACTGGAGCCAGCTCTCCATATATGTCTGCTGTTATGGTAGACACTGTTAACAGGCTTAGGCAAATTAGAACTCTTCCACCTGTAATTTCCTCCCTTCCTCTGGGAGAAGCAACTCAGACAAGAGTTCAGCTGCCTCTTTCTCCTTCTAGTCCTGCAGGCACTTGGAAATAGCATTGTCCTTCCTTTTAGGTCCTTGCAAGCTGGTCATGGCAAGATAGGTGTAAAATGTCTCTGGAATTCCTAGCTTATGGTTTCTATGTCCATCCCATTTGAGGAATGCTGAGCTATTCAAATACAGCGTGAAGAAGTCAAAGCGATCCTTAGTTTGTGTGCCTTTTTTCACCCCAAATTTAGCACTGGCATCTTCAGACTCACCAATGCCGGCATGCTTGAGGTTTCTGCTTGTAAGAAGAAAGGCTTTCATCCACACACCAGGGACCCCCGACTGTTCAGTGTGAGTACAGAGCATTGCTTACTCTTTGTAGGCATTTATTTTTTCAACTTTTCTTCTTAAGGAGAGAAAGAGTAGCAGTAAGAGATAAAACACTGTACTGCTTAGTTTACAGATTTCTTATCTCAGGAATTTAATCTTTATACTTCTGATTTCTTCTTGCTATTAATTTATTTACAAGGGAATAGCAGTATTTCCATGGCAGAAATGATTATGCATCAAATTATCTTTCCACCATCTATGTGTCTATGAAATGTATCATAATTTAAATGAAAGCTATAATCATACTACTTGTTTAGCTTTGTATAGCCCAGAGGAAATTAAAATGTAATTAACTAGCTCTTTCTGACCTTGCTTTAACTTCAGAGAAATTTTATTTTGAAGTTAGAAGTCATTTGAAGTGAAAATTGCTTGGCAATTTCTGAGTATTTCCATAGTGGAAAATGAATAAACATTGTTGAATTTGCCCTAATTGGAAATATTTATAATATATATTTCTCATCTCTAAATGAGAAATTTCTACTCCTTCCCTAAAAATAATCATGTTAAACCGAATAATGTAAAAGCCATTTTTTTCCCTCTAGATATGCAAACATGTGTTGGTAAAAGACATAAAATTAATCGTGCTGGATCTGAGGTGATATGTTCTGAAGAGGACACCACTACCACCGGACACCTACCGATGGACATGTGGTTGCTGGATTTTCTTAAGATGCTTCCAGAAAGTGACTGATATTTTATATTTATACATTTTAGACCAGAAAGTTTGATATTTATTGCTATTGCACATTTTGAAGTTTTCTTTTTGGGTTGCTTTGTCTCAAAAGAGATCACAGTGGTGTTAACTCAGTACCTACTCATGTACCCAAATACTCTGACCAAATAATAAAGTGTGCTGCAAACAGTGTGCGTGCTGTTTAGAGGCCTCTGCACTTGTTTTCAGTTTTTAGATGTTTCATTGAATTTTGTTTATTTATTTTTGCTATTTCTGTACAATATAATTAATTCCAAACAAATAAATCTGAGTGCCCAGTGGTCTCCAGGATAGGCCATCTGTTTCTGTATCTTATGATCAAAGATGAGCAGTTTCTATGTGTGAGAGCAAGCATGAGTATAGATGGTAATGTGCAGCCTTTCACATTGTTATCAAGCCCCAGGATATGAGATTCATCAGTAGACACCTTAGTAAAGCAATGAACTTCTACTCGGGGATTAGGTGTCAGGGGGCAGACAATTCATTAACTTGATTTAGAGGACCAAGAGTAGGGACTCCTTGAGAGAGGAATAAATTTTATTTTTCAGGTAAAAATATAAAGCCTGTTGCTGTGCAAATCAACCAGAGGTGAAGGAGAAGAGATGAGGCCTGCAAATAACTGATCCCCCTAAGAATAAGTAAAATAATTTGGAAAGAGCACATGTAATTAGAAGTCATAATGTAATAAAAAGAAATAGGAAGAAAAACACACTTTAAGTAGGGTAACATAATTACAAACTAACTTATTTCGTAGGCTTGGGATTTTTTTTTCCAAAGATTTATTTATGTATGCATACAGAAATGGGGTCCAAGCCAGAGATGCAGGGGCGGTGAGATGATTCACCAGAGAGAGAGTAGGGAGCAAAACAGGCAGATCAACAAAGTACACTGCTGAGGGGAGCAGAAGCAACGGGTAGGTCAGGAGAGGTCTGCCG